AAATAGATTTGGTTTACATTTATCTCTGTAGTTCTTCACAAATAGTAGTGTTTTTTGGACAATTTGCAAGTGACAAATTCAGTGAGAATTACTTTGAACATGTGCCACTAATCATAATAAAAGGAAAAAATTAGTGTCCAACATGTAAAGTATGGGAGTGTTACTGTGTACTTCTGTGTGTGCTTGGAACACAGTTCTTAATTTAATCTACCTTTATATTTTAGGCTTATTTCTGTACAATGGCTTCAGATAATTTCTAGCATTTAAACACATTTAAAATATAAGTAATTTAGGTTCCCTTTTTACATTTCATGGGACTTTGTTGTGTTTGCTGCTAATAAAAAGTATTAAAGCACCTTGTAATGAAAATTTGACATGTGTAAGGTTTTGTATCATAACTTTACATGTAGAACTAAGTAATTTAAGAAAAAAAAAGTTATGTCTGCTTTTTTGGTTGTTTTACTGTGACCTGAAGATGAATTGTAGTATGTTGAACAAGTATTGCAATTCAAACTCAGATATAAAATTTGCAAGTGAAATTTTTCTACAGGAAAGAAAAATTGTACTGTAGTGACTCAGATTTTTGCAGGGAACTAACCTTTTGCAAGATTGCAAGTAATGTTTTGGATTAAACTGCCTTCTTCCTGCAAATTGCTGTGTGGTGAAGAGGAAGGTTAATTTCAGACACATGCTGCATGGGATGAATTATTTCTGTTTATGTACAATTGTGTTTTGAAATATCATCAGTGAAGCAGTTTTTGCAAATAGAAGTAAAACAGTTTCAGTTTCATCTGGAATAATTTTATATTAAAATTCTTGAAAGAACACACATATATTTGATGTTATCAGTAAGAAGTATACAGGCATAAAGTTATAAATAATAGATTCTTGTGTTCTGATGTTTTTCCTTATGAGAATTTGAAAAGTATTTGCTTTATTTGTTGCAGGAAAGGGAGTACTTGGCAGAGCAGAGTAGCTAAAGCTAAGCCACATCCCACAAGTTCACTAACTTTTCTCTCTTATCCCCACCCACAGTCATATATACTGGAATTCAAGTCCATATTTGCATTCTTCTGATCTCTCCTTTTTTTTTCTGAGTCATATTTCTGAATTCTTATAGAAAAAGAGCTGCTGTCAAAACAAAAAAGGCCAACTAACCACAACTACTATTTGTTGCCTTTGCAATTTCTTCAGCAGCTTCAGAGTACTGAAAAATGCTTGTCTGAGAAGTGTTATTCACCAGGTTTTTTCAGTTATACAGGAGTTCCCTGGCTGAGCTGGGAAAGAGCTTGTCAGAGGACACTTCCTTAAAAGAAGGAAAATCTTCTTAGAAGAAGATTTCATCTTTTATCTTCTATAAAAGAAGAGTATCTCTTCATTGGTGCCATATTCAAACAGCCCAAAGTGATTGGAGAATACTGGTGTTTAACTCATTAAATGCTGCAGCCTGGCCTAAGTTCCCATTTGATATTTGCATCTGGTTGCTGAATGTAGTCTTCGGCTTCCAGCACTATTTTCTTATTCCTTCCATATGTAAATATCAAATGTATGGGTTCCAGTTTCTTGTTTCCTTTTTCAATCTGATGATTGTAGAACCCTTTAAAGGGGCAATTGAAGGAAAAGGTCTCCTAGAGAGCCATCTAGTAAAATGATTGGTTATTTGATACCAACAAAGACAGCTGAAATATACCTGGAGCACATTTTACAAGAGAAAAGTGATACTGTGATCAGGAAGAATTTGGAAGAACTGGCAGTTCTAAGCTCAGCTGCTTTGGAAACCACAAGTATATATTTATTACTTGAATTAGTAACAGAATTATTCTTGGCAATAATTGATTGCACTGCAATCTGTAGTAGTGGCATATGTAAGATCATAGATTAGGGACAGTCTCATTCCTACCTTATCACTTCTCAGGTTAACTGTGGCAATTTCACATATTTATGTGTAGAATAATTTAATACAGGCATGTAGTTGCCTGTATTAAAGCAACATCAGTCCTAACACTGTCCTACAGTGGCACATAGGGGTGTCTACACAGAAATGATAATTAAGCTTCATGTGTGTGGATACCAGTGGAGAATGTCTCTTCCAGAGAACTCCACCACATCATCCACCACTCCAGATTTACTGACCTTTGTTTCTTAAAGATGTAAATGTAGAACAAAATATGTGTGTAAGATTGTGCACACATATGCATGGACATTAGGTGTGGGGCTCTTTTTGAGAAAGGAAATCTTGTAATGTCTGGTCAATATACTTCTTTTGATGTTAGGTGTTTTATTCAATGATGATGACTACAAATTTGGCTTAAGAGCTATAGTTGCTGAAACTCTTCAGCCCATTAGCTGGAGACTGGCATGTACTTAGTCTGTGTCAAGTGTAGATTCAACATATGGAAGGTGATGCAGTTGGCTTACTTCTAGCATGTCTGCTATTAGATATTTTTCACTTACCTGATGTTTGCTAACAGTCTAAAATCTGTATGTGGCTCTGTTTTCAGATATTCTAACTTATGATGTAACTTAGAAGTCACCTAAATCCTACCTGATTTTATCTGCTCAGTTGCTGCATTTTCATGTTTTCAAATCTCTCACTGTCCTCCTTTTCATCAAAGAAGGCAATTTAAACAGGGAAAGTTGTGACTGTTTTTACCCAAGGAACTTCTGTAATTTTACAGAAACTTAGAATTTTTTGACTTGAGCACAGTTTTATTTCTTAGTCATAAGACTTGTGTGGTTCTAAACAGTGTACATAAAATTGGAAGATGAGAAGGGACATCAAGAAGATGCTCTGTACACCAGTCCAATCAATTGATGTTGGTATTAATCTTGATACATGCTAATATTTTATCTTAAAACCTCTATGATTATTCTAAAACTTCCCCGGTCAACACCACTTGTAATACTTAACTATCCTTACTATTACAAATTATTTAATAAGGGGGAGTATTTGAATATTTTTCTTACCTAAAGTGAATCTCTCTTAAGCTTACTAGTTGTCCTAGCTGCTGTGGACATGAAAATCACACTCATTTTATGCAGCAACCTTTTGCAGATCATATATCTCCCATTTTTCTTTTTTTTTTTAACTCTCTTCAGATAAACTAGTTTAATTCAATGTTTTCATGTTGTTTTTGTTGAAGCGCTAGAAACCACTTTTTCTCCGCATTTTTCTCAGATCTTTTTTGTAGGATGAGCCCAGAACTATACACAGTACTGCTGGGTTTCTTTTATTTAAACAAAGTTTCTTTTATAAAGCTTTGTTTTCCATTGTTCTCTGCCTCCTTGATTCACCCAAGTTTACTCATTGAGCTTGAATGATTAGTGACTCCCACTGCTCAAAGGCTGTTGTCTTAAGCAAGCAGCTTCTTTCTTAGGACGTTCATGAAATTCAGTTTTACTTTTCTTTATCTGTACACTTGACATGGATTGAGGAATTATATATAGTTTTACAAGCAGGAACTGAAGTAATTAAGCATGCTATCTTCAAGGAGGAATTTAGGATTAAGAAGAGAAAAAAAAAGACATGATTAGGAGATGAAAAACATTTCATTGTTACTGTATATGGAAAAAGGTAGACATTTTTTGTGTGTAATATTTTTTTGTCAAAGTGACTGTGGTTGAATGCGATTCACAGAAATGAGCAGTGGTGTTTTGTTTTCTTCCATTTCTCTGGTAGTAGGCAGACAAGAATCAGTGCAGGGGGAGGTTTTATTATTGCTTTTAGGTATGGTCTCTTTGAACAACCTGCCTGCCAGGTTTACTAGGAATCTTATTTAGATGGGATTATTCCGACCTTTGTTAATAAAATATTGTCAGTTGATAGATTGAATCTCTAGGCACAGTTGCACTGATAGCTGAGCTGGTTTAACAGCTGACATTGCCAAATGGAAATCTTTCTGTTTCACCTGTGTGCCTTCTACTTCCCCCTGTATAAACTCCATTCAGAATGCTCTAAGATGACACATTTCACTAAACTCTGAGAATACCAGAACAAAATTTCTTTGCAAAGTGTCCTATTTTCAGCTGGGATAGAGTTAATATTCTTCCTAGTAACTGGTGCAGAGCTGTGTTTTGGATTTAGTATGAGAATGATGTGGATAACACAGATGTTTTGGCTGTTGCTGAGCAGTGCTTACCCTGAGTCAAGGACTTCCAGTTTCCTGTACCCTGCCAGTGAGGAGATGCACAAGAAGCCAGGAGAGAGCTCAGCCAGGCCAGCTGATCCAAACTGGCCAAAGAGATATTCCATCCCATGGAATGTGATACCCAGTGTATAAAATGGGGGAGTTGGGTGGGAAGGGTCAGTTACTGCTGGGGGGCGGGCTGGGCATCAGTCAGTGAGTGATGAGTGAGTGTATATATATATACTGAGTGAGTATTGTACATCACTTGTGGGTTGGGTTTTTTTTTACATTTGTGGTAGTTCATCTCTTTTTTTTACTTTTGTTATTATTTACTTTATTGTAATTATTTAACTGTTTCTATTTCAATCTGTGGGGTTTTTTTTTCCTTTTTCCAATTCTCCTCCACTTCCCAGTCAGAGGGGAGGAGGAGTGAGGGAATGATTTCTGCATGGTAGGTAGTTACTCTCTGGGGTTAAACTGTGATCCCACAGCTGGATGAGCTTAGCACAAAATTCAAAAAATGGCTTAGTACTGGAAAATATTATAAAACTAAAAGTTGGCACATGGGGAGGAAGGAGAGGTGTTGATTTTGTAGAGGATCTCAATTCTTCTGGTGAAGATGAGCTAAAAAATGACTCAGCTCCATGTGATGATACTCTTGGAGAAGTCGAACTGTACAACATGTTTTTTAAGAGAAGCTGAGTGCCCAGAAATAGTTGTAGATTTTCCTCTGTCCATGGCATATTCCCCATCCCCACTTAACGCTCAATGAATGATTTGAGTTGAGCTATCCTTTTAAAAACTGAAAGTGTTTTCTTGTGATCTGTTTTTGTTATTTTATTTAACACAAAGTCTGTTTTGTTTGAATTGCAGATGCAGTTGCTGCCAGAACTCAGAAGATGACCTCACCAAAACCCAAGAAAAGCACAGCAACCAGAAAGAGAGTCCAGAAGTAAATAATATATGGAGCAACCAATTAAGTTGCTCTGTGGCTCATTTCTGGTTTGGTTGTGGTTTTTTTGTTGGTTTTTTTGGGGGTTTGTTTTTTTCTTTTTCTGTGGGTTTTTTTTTGTAGCACTGGAATCTTTTTCTTTTCTTTCTAAATGATGAATCCTATAAAAACATGGACTGCTGTTTGTACCTGTTTTTGAAGAATAAATGTTTTATTGAGACATTTGCATAATTTATGTATACTTAAGTACTAATGCAAAATTTTGCCAACTTCTGAAGTGGGGATGCATTTTTATTCTTTATATACATGAATTCACGTCTTAAAGGCAAACTAAAAGAGAGTGCTTTTTTCCTGCTTCATAATGTAGAGATAAAGCCTTATTTAATAGTTTCATTATGAATACTGTATAAGAAACAGCAGTGTTGCATCTGATTTCTCACAGTTTTGAGTAAAGTCATATTGGTGGTCACTTAAATACACACTGAGATGAAGTCTGAAAAAGCAGAAATAGCTTTTAAATATGTTTCAAGTGTTTGAATTAAAAACAGAACATAAGGCAAAAATCATGTCCTTCCATTCTGGTTAATATAAAATGCACATAATCAATTTTTTGGAAGACAGGTACTAAATTTTAGCCATTTTTTGCATAGTATTTGTAGAATTTTTCCAATTATTCAGTTTCTCTGGAAAGAAAGAGACCAGAATTTCAGACAGAGGGCCCGGGGCAAATAAAAGAACCAACTTAAAAACCAGTGCCTATTCTCGATCACCCCCTCAGGTTTTCTTTTTATTTTAGTGAAAAGACTAGAATATAATAGGTAACTTCGTGCAGAATCTAGTTTCAGTGTAATATTGTCTCATAGCAATAATGGTTTACCTTTTTTAATGCTTGAGAAGCATGTAATCTTCCAAAGCCTTTTGTAAAAGTACTTCATTGGTTGGCTTTGAGTCCTCTCTTTAGAGCTGTAAGTCAAAAAACAGTGTTGAATTCCTGAGTGAAACATTGCTGCATTTCATATATCTACTGCAACATACACATAGTAAGGCATGAACATCATTCTTATCAGGGTAGCCAAAAGTTTGGTGAACCAAAAGGAATCCATATGAGCCAGTGAGAGTGTATTTGTGTGGATGTCCAGCTTGCTTGATTGTATCATGTCTGAGTAGCAACTCATGAGATTAAATAAATATGTTGTAGCACTGTTGAATGAATGAATGACGAGGTTATGTTTTGTAACAAGGGAATCCGTTGTTTTGAAATAAAACTGGACTACCATATTTTTAAGAGGTGCTTTCTCATTTCTGTTGACTGTTAGGCTTGTTTTCCTGAGTATTAGCAAAGTGTGGCTGACAACTTTAAGTGTAGCATTCTCTTCATTTCAGATGTTAAAATAGGATTGCTAAAGCCTCTCTCAAGTTTAAAACTCCTCATATCAAACTATTATTTTAATGATCTCGTTTAATCATTTTGTTCAGGAAGTATGTTACGCTGTTCTGAATAGCTATTGTCAGTAAGGCATACTGTATTCTCTTCCTTGTCACATACTCAAAGTTAATGTAATTCTTTTGTACTTCAGTAGTTTGACATTTTATTTTTTTTAGTAACTTATTTATCACTAAACTTCCTTTGATAACTTTCCAAGTTCTCAAGCAGTGTGTTTTCTTTTGACACCACCAAAGCTAAATGGAACAAACATTTATTTCCATATATTTGAAAAGAATGTTTTGAGGTGCGAATTTCATAAGCCACCCCTACTTCCTCCCACCCCAAAAATGTCCGTGAAAAAAATGTCCTGGCAGGTGTTCTGTGAAGGGAAAGGGTGCTTTTCATTCAAGGTGAATGTTGTTTCAGGGCTTGTCTCTGCTTACAAGGCACTGCAAAACCCCAGGCACCAGCTCGCTGTAACTGCAGTAGTGTTTAAAGCGTGGGACGGCCAGGAGGAGCGGAGGGGAAGGCTGTGATCATACCCGCAGCGCTACCGTATGGATCACATACAGTGTGTGCTTGCACACATGTGTTCTCTCTGCTTTGCCAAGCGCTGATGGGGAAATACAGCACTTCATGAGAAGAGGAGGGTGCAGTTGGATTTTGTTGACATCCCCGTTTGAAAGTAAAGCCCTAACACAAAAGAAGCAAGCTGCCTTTAGACTGCATTTACTGCTCTTGATGACTCCAGTTGTGTGTAAATATTAGAAAACAGCAGGGTCCTGCATTCCAAGAATCACTTGAGCAGTGCCATGAAGACAAGTGTCCTTACTAGTATTGTAGTCATACTCCCAAGCTCTCCTGCTGTTTCTAATCTGTGCGTGCAGCCGTGAAAAAACTGGACTGACATTTACAGGCACAGCAGGGAAACACTTGAGTAGGGAATGTTAAAGACTCCGCTACCTATGTTTCAAAGTGGCCACCATACATGATAAATCTTCACAGAAGAACTAGTCAGCACTTCAGCTGATGGTGTAATGAGGATATTGATAATGAAGCACAGAATGCTTCTTTTAGTGCTTGAACATTTTGCAGACAGATTGTTTATATTTTCCCCGATCTAAAATATCTGGAGAGGCAGTCAGATTCAGGATGGATATAACATATTTTTTAGATGGTGCTGGTTTGATAATTTTTGCGGGATTATTTTCCAAGAAATTAATATAAAATAATAATTCCCAATATTTGCTGCAGCTAGCAGTAAGAAGGGGGTCAGTTGCTTTCCTGAGTAGTTTGACAGACTTTTCTCACTGTTTTGTCCCAGTGAGCTGCCAGATTTGGGATGCCATAATACCAGTAATGCAATTAGGTTTTCTGCACGTTGTCTGGTTGACTTCTCAGTTAAGAGTTTCTTTCCCTTTGGGAATAAGACTAGACAGACTGTCATTTGCTATTACTAATTCTGCTTAGCATTATCACTGGAGCTTTTTTGTAATTAGCTATCTTAGTTGGCTCTTAAATTTTAATAGCCAATTGAAGCTACATTTTAGCCAAGTTCCATATCTAAATTGCATTCAGTCCATTAACAAAGTTGGTTAAAAGGCTATTAAAACAAAAGCCAATACATGGTGGTTAGCACTTACATCTTTGCAGCAGTAGCAGTACCAGCCTCCAATGAATATTCTCGAGAAATGGCACGTCCTTCTAGAAAGGAAGTGCATGAAGAATGACCAAAGTTTGTTTTGGGAACAAAGACTGAATATGCAGAATACTTGTAGAAAAAGTAAGTAATTGAAGTGTGTCTTTTCTGGAAAAAGGTGGGAAAGAGGGGCAGGGGGAGATGTAGAAGGAGGCAATTAATTGTTCTGCTCAGATTTGACAGGTTCTGGAAAAGCCAAATAAATAAAGTGATGTTTTTCTCCGTTTCAGCTGATCAAAATTATTAGCAAAACCATCTGAAGCACCTTCTGGTGGAATTGTCATCTTGCTGAGTTTAGTTTGTAAAACGTCCTGCCAGACATAAAAAAAACTGTAAGCATGCCAGCACATAGGCTCAGAACACCACTTCTCTAATTGATAGACCCTATAATTTTCTTTTTTACTGAAGACCATGGCTGGATACCTCAGCCTCCCATGTAATTTAATGTAGCATCAGTCTGAATATTTTATCCCTAGTAGCATTTGTTTAAATTAGCTTTTTGTACTCTTTTCTTTCTGAAGGTGTAGACAGGAGATTAACTGCCTTTGGTTCATCCTGTGACTAATAATGCCTTTCTCAGATTTTTCTGCTTAAAAAAGAAAAATCTTTACTTTTGGGAAGACATCAGATGCTGCTATGGCTTTAATAGAGAGTCTACCAGTTACTGATGAGCTGTTTCAAGGATGGTTTGCAGTGCCCGGTGGAGGTGATGATAGGTGAGTATCAGTAGCTTCATTGTAGGAGGTGTGAGGCAGACTCCAGATTGTGTCTTAATAACCAATACATATCTGCTTTTACTAGCACAAGTAGTGGGACATCTAAATTAGTGTTTCCAGTGTACCAGTTCCATTGTAAAAAATCCACAGAGGTGGTGCTTTTTGAACAAGAGTCAGATCCCATTGTGTGTAGTGGCGCTGCACCATCAAACTGACTGGAAAAGCTCTGTGGGACTAAATACCAGTTCCTTTACCTCCCATGTTGTTTGGGGGTGCTGGGCTCTTTGCAATGATGAGGTACTCAAAGGGAGGAGGAATGGGTTCTTTGAGAGAAGTGATTTTCATTATGTCCTTTCTAAAATGCAGAGAGAAAGCAGATGTGGTGGGATCAACTTTTCAAAAAAGTCCTAGAGTCCTAGTTAGGATCTCAGATGGCTTTATGCAACTGCATGCTAATTCATAGGCATTTCAGTTTTCTTCACTGATATTATCAAGATTCAGCAGCTGAAGATTTAGAAAGTTGATTCCATGAATTTGATGCTTCATTTAAGTCCATTTATCTCCATGAATGGTAGCTCTATAGCACCAATTTGGGGTTTAGAAAAATGCAACAGCTCGAACTGGCTGCTACAATTTGACTTCATTTCTCTACATGGATGTGCCATGTTTTTAAATATGAAATCACAAACAGTATAGCACTTGTACTTTCTGGAGTCTGTGTTTCATCTTATCCTCCAAAACCTGTCTTCTTCCAGACTGGTGCATATCTTGCCCATGTAGTCTTCCATGCCAGATTTTAATGCCCTCACATTTAGTTCTGCATACAAATACCCAGAATTGTCAAATGGCCCTCAAGTTTCACAGCTGCCTAAGCTCCTATAAGTGAAGCTTTTTCTTCCCCATTGAGAATGCTGCAACAAGTCAAAATTGAGGTTTTGCATTTTCTCAGGAGTACCCCGAAAAGTAAAAGAGTTGTGGAGGAACTGTCACTTGATAGGAGAAAGATTGGCTCCCATATTTCTACCCCTTGTCCTGGAAGGTCAGCTTTCCAACCCTGCAGACCTTAGCTGCTGTGATAGGCTTTCATATGTATACTCAAAGGAAAAATGATGAGAACACAGTGAGACAGCTGTGAAGTATAGTAAAAGTGAAAAGAATATATACATTTTTATGAACTTTCCTGAACTAATTCCTTTTGCCAGACCACTCCAGACAGGAAGAGGCTGACACAGTGGTGATCTGCATCTGCAGCTTCTGAGAGGAAAAAAAATCTTCCTTGGCAAGTGGAGCTAGAAACCCAGAAAATGAAGGATTAATACTTTCATTTATACAGGAGCAGTGAGAACACAATAACATGAAATACAACCAAGGAGGATGCATTTAAAAGACAAAAGAGCCCTGGAAGGGACGGTACTTAGCTTTGTTCAGAATGCGAACTCTAACGTGCAGTTCTGGGAATTGGTGAATTGCACAGCTTAATGTTAAAAGAAATTACTTCATACCGCAAGAAATACACGATCTGTGCCTTGAAAACCTGAAGGTACTTTCCTTTCTCTTTCTGCCAGGAGAGGAGTGGAACACTGGATCTACTTGAAAGTAAGTAACCCTCCAGCTAATTTTGTCTATCTGCTGCTAAACCTGAACAAAAATAGTGTATGTAATAAATTGAATTCCTTTCTGAAAAGAGATATATCTATAAAAGAATAATAATGCCTTTATTCTTACATTCTCACTAATCTCTCATTGTGGAGCTGTTTCCTTTGGTGAGAGTGGATCTGCAGAAGCAAATATGCAGTCCCTGACTCACATC